AAAAGGGTAGCAACATTTTAGGCTTTACAGACTTAACCACACACACACACCACACACACCACACACACACACCACACACACACACCACACACACACACCCTTCATTACCTAATATACTGTTAATATTCCAACCTACTGAAGTTCTAGGCTAATATCGGTTTTGTACCTTTGTAATAACCAGCATTAACAGGTGGTGATGAGAAAGTCACATGATGATCCAAAGCTCATCACAAACAGCTTTTCCACAAGCTGGAGAGGGCAATACTAATATATAGAAGCTGCACAGTGTCACTCACACAAACACCATCATGGTGACACCCGATACTGAAATAATGCAATTACATTTCCTTTAACAACATTAGACGCTAGATAAAACTCTAATGTACACAAAATAATAAAAATAAAAAATTTAAGAAGAAAGTTATTTCAATGAAAAACATCAAATGTGAAGTGTCACGCAGGGAATTCTGGGAGTGTCAATTTACGTTTTTTTTACTGTAAATTATACAATGACTCTTTTGCACTTCCAAAAACCATAATTTTAAAATTACATTAAATGTAATTACAGTTATTCACCATATTTAGTATGGAAACTTACTGTTAACAGGTTTTTACTGTAGAATTTTTAGTCTTTTACTGTTAAAATCACGATCACTTTTACGGTGAACAAAATCAAGAGCATAGTTAAGAACAGTAAACAAACTAGTAAATCGGAGCATAAAATATATCTTAAGAATCAAAGTTAACATGCTTATACACTCCGTATCAGGGAAGTTGTAGCCTAATGGTTAGAGAGTCAGACTTGTAACCCAAAGGTTACGGGTTTGAGTCTCAGTACCAGCAAGAAATGTAGGTGGGCAGGAGTGAATGAAGGGAGCCTTTCAATACCAATGACTGAGGTGCACCAACCCCCCAAATTGCTCCTCGGGTGTCACTGCTCCAGAGTGAGTGTGCCTACTTAACCATATTTTGGGGACAAATTTGTACCCAAAAGTGAGCAAAAACCTCCATTTGGGGACATCC